CCAGTCTCAGGAATTTTGTTGTAGCAACAGACAATGAACTTAGACACCATCTTAGGACAAAGTGACAGTGATTCAGTTCATACTTAACAAAAGAAAGATGGTAAATTTCTGTATTCCTAAAGACATGATGAACTAAAAGTAAATCAATGGGACTAAGCATTTTTCAATTGACAGCTGAAAATGTAAACACCTGAACATTATAGCTTTAATGCACTTTTCAAAACTTGGCAAATTCTCCCCCTTTCGACTCACCTGCCTTATGGATTCTGGCACTGAGCCTGGACTGGGTATGCTCTGCAGAGTGCAGCATAATTTAATTGCCTGCATAAATAAATTTCCATCAGGTGACCCAGGGAGAGCTCAAATGCAACCTTCAATTAGCCTAGGGAAAGCAGGGTGACAAGAGCGAACTATAGAACTGTACAGAGACTTACCTAGCAAATCCCCTGAAATGGTAAGTGAAGCAGCTGTCAACTATGTTGGCAGGATTTACTTGCTGGTTTCTGATTTTCATGCCAAATGCTAACAAAACATAAAAAAAATGGTGCTCTCTTTACAACCCATAGTCTTTGAAATCAGAGCTGATTTCTTATTTGTAAAGATTTGTGCAGCTGCCCTTCCCTTTATAACTTCACATCTTCCTGCTCAGGGCATTTTAATAGGTTCTGTACAGATAATAGTTGAAGAAATAAAGCCCAGGGCTCTAGAACTCTTTCAATATAGACCAACCATATTTGTTCATCTTTATGGAGCCTAATCTGGCTTCTGAAATGTGTTACTTTGAAAGTTCTAGGAAGGAAATGTAAGGAGGCAGGGGGAAACAGACAAAAGGAAACTGCAATTACTCATATTGTATAGGTCCTTAAATAGCAATTCTTCCCACTTAGGTATCCCTTTACCCACTTCCTATGTCTACAGAGCTTCATGAATAGTAATCTTTCTACCTAGCAACTGCATGCTGATTCATTCATTAACTTAACCCACAACTACTGAATGTCTCCTCTGTGCTAGCCTAGGTACTTTCATTTAGTTCTTTTTCTCCTTCAAGAAGCAAGATCCTTTAACATAGATATATGGATAGCACAGTAACCATACATAAATACATAGCACCTTTACATTATATGTGAAAAGATCTGGGGTAGGTACAAAGGACAAGTTCAAGTTCAATTCCAGAAAGGAAAGGACAAGGGAAAGTTTGGCTAACCCTGATCATTATCTGGCTGTGCTGGGTGAGAATTTAAGTAAAAATTATTTAAAAAGAAAAACCTTTCATGTACATGATGTTTTAAGTTTGGGCATGTAGTGTACCTTCCTAACTTCCACCTCCATTCCAAACACAGTGAAAATATATATAAAGTTACAAGCACCTAGGGATCTTCCATGTTTGTATGATAAAAAACTAGACTACATATCTTCAAAGAAAATGTGATTTGTACCCACACACACAATCACATAGAGAGTATATTACTGAGCCTTAAAAAAGAAGGAAATCTTGTCATTTGTGACAACATGGATGAACTTGGGGAACATTATCTGAAGAGAAATAAGCCAGGTACAGAAAAACAAATACTGCAAGATCTCACTTATAATGTGGAATTTAAACAAGTTGAACTCAGAGAGTCAGACAGTAGGGTGATGTTCCCAGGGACCAGTGGCTGGAAAAATGGGGAGACAGCCAAAAGGTTCAAAGTTCCAGTTAAACAGCAAGAAAAAATTCTGGAGATTTACTCTACATCACAGTTCCTGTAGATAATAACACTGTGTTCTATGCACTTATCCCTGCAGATTCTGCATCTCTGGCTTCAACAAACGACAGACTGAAAATATTTGAAAAGAAAAATTGTCTGAAAACACACAGACGTTTTTCTTGTCTTCATTCCCTAAACAATACAGCCTAGCAACTGTTTATACAGAACTTATATCACACTAGATATTATAAGTAATTAGAGATGATTTAAAGTACCCAAGAAGATGTGCTCAAGCTATAAGCAAATATTATACCATTTTATACCAGGGGCTTGAGCAGCCTCAGATTTTGGTATCTGTGGGGTTTTGGAATCAATACTCCTGTGGATACTAACTGTATTTGAAATTTGCTGTGAGAGTAGATCTTCAACGTCCTTACCTCAGACACACACAAATAAAACTATGTGAGGTGATGGATACATTAATTAGAGCTTGACTATGTTGTCATTTCACAAGTTATACACATATCAAAACAACATGCATACACTGTAAATATACACAATTTTTATTTGTCAATTATACTTTAATAAAGCTGGAAGGAAAAGATCATGACAAAATAGTTTAAACATCTCCATGAAGTAGAAAACAAATAGAAATGTAGTAGGCAGGGGTATTCGATAGCTTATTTCTGTGGACCAACAGGGCTAAAAATGTCCCCAGGAAAAGGTTCAGACTCACCACCAGAATTCAATGAAGAGGGAAGCCCCCCACCACAGTGAAAGGGGACTTTAAAACTCTGCTTGCCCAGGGAGGTGGGAGGAGGCAGACTGTCTCTCAACCAGACTGGGCCACACTGACTACTGGTCTGATGGTTGACCTTGAATAGTCCATCACCATCGTGGAAGAGCAAGCCCTGGCTGCAAGCATAAGACTGGGTTCTGGACCAAGGTTCTTGCAGGTAGGATACAGGCAACATCAAATCCCTAAATGGGTCAGGGTGAGTGCAGAGAAAGAATCCATAGGAAACAAACGTAAGATAAGGCTCTCACAGTAATTCCAAAGCACATAAGAAAAACTAACACCACAAACCACGGCCAATAAAAATCAACATCAGATGAATCCCCTTCAGCCAAAAGGAAAAGAGCACCCTGGAAATGACTTTACACTGGTGTTTTAAAAGCTAGGAGGAAGTTGTACAGATAATATTCAGCTATGTTTTAACATTCCTCAAATTAAATTTCTTACTATGGAAATTTTGAACTTTTACACATATAACTTGTACTTTCCAGTGACGTGGCTGGAAACACAGTGTCATCACCATATTTGGCAACCAAAAGACCACCAGCTCCGGCTGCGTTCACTCACAGTGGTAGCAAGAACTTGTGAGGTCCCTGTACCCTGCGACAGGCTGAAGGACAATCAGAATCTTGACCCAGCCCTAGGTGGAATTGACATGGACTGCCAAAGTGCCCATGTAGGGGAAAACTCAAGTCTATCCTGGGCCAGAACACTCTTCATTAACAGAGGCTAGGACAGCAGATGGCCCAAGTAAATGGCTCCTAAAAATTAAACATGAGCATTATAACTAAATTCAGACTAAAGAGGAATTAAACATTAAATTCTCTACCTTCTCTGCCACACATGAAATATAAGTGTTTACATTTATATTGCAATATCACATTAATATTAAAGTGGGAGATCTTAAATATAGAAGATGACCATTGGATGAATCATTGACCAAACCTTCAAAATCAGAAAAAAGTTGAGTCATCAAGCATACCTCTTTTTACCCTTTATGATATATTTTTTACCCTTTATGATATAACCTCAAAAAAAAAAAAAAAGAAAGAAATATGAAAACCAAATTGCTTTCAAACACACTGAAAAAAGTTCCGGTAGTATCGAGCCTGAGAATGTCATGGAACGGCTCCAACTCCTCTGGCGTTATCAGCACCTGCTACTTCAATGAATCATGTTCTCTCCCTTTATCAAAGGACACAATAGATGCTACTAGGAGTAAAAGGAATGGGGTGGGTAAGGGAAATCACACATTCTGCTCTAATCCCAACCAGAATTTTGGCTCAGGGAGAGAAAAACCCTGTGGAAGTTGGCAAAGCAGATAAGCATAGTTAGCTTCATGAAAATTGAACTCCAGAGAGTCCTGGGGCATTAGCCAGTGACTAAATTTAGTCTTTTTTTCAAACACAGACAAATTTAACAAAATGCCCTTCTAAATCCCTCAAAGGAGATCCTGGAGGGTTCCCCAGTGTCAAGCCCATAGCAAACTCTAATTTGCCTAGAATTAGGGATTCGTGGGTAGCAAGTCCCCTGTCTCAGGCAATGTTCAAATGGAAAGACCCATGCTGATGTGACATAAAAGTATGGACGTGCCTGAGGTGGGAGGCTGCTCAATTGTAGCTTTCAAGTCTGGAAGTGAGTACACTTGGCGATTGTTAGGCCAGAATTTCCCATGGGGCAAAAGCAATGCCAACAGAGCCAGAGTACTAAAAAGGCTCGGAGACTCCTCAGGTTGTAAATCCAGCATTTTGGCATCCTCTTCTCTCTCTATGTATGTGAAGGAGGAAGACTCATAATGATTAATGTGCATTTGCTGCCTTTGATCGAAAACCAGCAGATCTTGCCAGCAGACATTTATTAGAAAGAAAACCAAGAAACAACATAAGAATTACCTGACAGTTATTTAGGAGTTAATTATTCAGTCCTTTGTTTTTGTGTGTGCTTTCTCCTACTTAACTCCTTTTGACCATTTTTTTTTTCTGTTGATTAGGTTCCCTCGACTCACTAGTAAAGTAAATCAAATGAGTCTTAGAGTTATTGTGGGCAGTCTGTGGTTACAAGCTGTCGTAAAAGGTTTGGTGAGGGGAAGGAAGTGGGGGGTGGATATTATAATTACTGGAAAAGTGATTGTTGTTTATCTTGGTTAGCAGGGTATACAGTGGGGCTCTGGGGCCAAACACAACCTTGGTTTCTCATGTGCTCTTTACTAGCTGTGTGTCCTTGGGCAAGTAACCTGGTCTGAGTCAGCTTCCTCATGGGGCAGATGGGAATATTAATACTTACATTGGTGGGCAGTTGTAAAGATTGAATAAAATAATACAAAGAGCCGAGGAGAGTTCTTTCCACCAGCTAGGCACACAAGCTTAATGATTCAAATTGTATAGAATTTACTCTCCTCACACAGTGAAGAAGAAAACAAATATTCTTATACTGAGAAAAGGATTTCCCAAGCAAATGTACACATTTTAACACATTAAACTTCCTGATGATTTAAATGTGCAAGAGTCAAACTTTACCTGTCGACTTCCCTGCTTGGAGGAGCAGCTACTTGTGCTCCTTGAAGGTGAGACCAATTTCTGGGACACACCAAGGTTCTTTTCATCACTCATCGTGAGCAGCTGGTCAGTCACTTGGCCTCAATGCAATCAAAATGCCATCAGAAGACAGAGGAGTTGAGAGTATGGAGGTCCCACACAGGTAGATAGGTCAGCTCTTATCCAGTATGCTCAAAAAGCATTTTTAGATGGCCCAGAGGAAATCCCTAAAACCAAAAGAAAAGCAATTAGAGAGAAGTCAGAGACCTAAATGTCTTCTCTAATAAATCATGTAAGTGTCTTTATATTACACATTACAAAGCCTTGATGCTTAGGTACAGGCTATCAAGGAAAAATGTTTCACACTTTCCTCTTATTGGTAATTTTGTATAGGTGGTTCTTCATGTAGTTCTGTAAGATGACAGTCTTAAGAAGGTTAATATGGAAATTTGAGACACATACCAAATCAGTATCATAAAAAATCCCAAGCCACAATGAGACATCACTTCACATCTACTATGATAGCTATAATTTTAAAAAGAAAGATAAAAACTAGTGTTGTGAAGGGTGTGGCGAAATTGGAACTCTTAGGTATTGCTGGTGGGGACAGAAATTGGTACATCTATGGCAACAAAACAGTTTGGTGGTTACTCAAAAATGTAAACATAGAATTATCATATGATCCAGCAAGTCCATGTCTAGGTATGTATCCAAAAAAACCTGAAAACAGGAATTCAAACAAAAAATTGTAGACTACTTCTCATGGCCACGTTATTCACAATAGCCAAATGTGGAAATGATCCAAACGTACATCAAATGATGAATAAGGAACTAAATCTGGGAAAGTCATACAATGTAAAATTATTCAGATATTGAAAGGATACACATTCTAACACAGGTGAACTTTGAAACACCATGCTCAATGAAACAAGCCTGACACAAAAGACCACATATTACATGTTTCTATTTATATGACATATCCAGAGTCAGCAATCTGTAGAGACAGGAGGGTGATTAGTGGTCACATGGGTGTGTGTGTGTGGGGGGTGTGATGATGGCTTACTGGAGTTTCCTTTGGGGATGATGGAAATGTTCTTGAAATAGATAGTTGTGGCAGGTGAACAATATTGTAATAGTACTAAGTGTCACTAAATTATACTCTTGAAAGTTGTTGAAAAGATGAATTTAACATTGGGCATATGGAACTACAATTTTAAAAAATCCCTGTGTTTTCAGAGAAAAACCCACATAAATACAGTTATCTTATATTAGACAAAGGCATCAAAATCATATATTGGAGAAAAGATAGCCTCTTCAACAAATGGTGCTGGGACAACTGGAAATCCATATGCAACAAAATGAAATTAAGCCCCTATCTCTCACCATGCACAAAACTCAAAGTGGATCAAAGACCTACAAATCAAACCAGAGACACTACCCAAATCTCCATCATGTCAGATTACGCCCCCACTTAAGACTCCTATAGCGCAAGAATTAAAATCAAGAATCAATAAATGGGATGGATCCAAACTAAAAAGCTTTTTCTCAGCAAAAGAATCAATCAGTGAGGTGAATAGAGAGCTTACAGAATGGGAGCAAGTTTTTATCACATGCACATCAGATAGAGCACTAATCTCTAGGATATATAAAGAACTCAAAAATCTTAACACCAAGAAAACAAATAACCCAATCAATAAATGGGCCAAGGACCTAAACAGACACTTCTCAGAAGATGATATATAATCAATCAACAAATATATGAAAAAATGTTCAATATCTTTAGCAATTAGAGAAATGCAAATCAAAACTACTCTAAAATTTTATCTCACTCCAGTCAGAATGGCAGCTATTTAAGAATACAAACAACAAGAAGTGTTGGCGAGGATGTGGGGAAAAAGATACACTCATACATTGCTGGTGGGACTGCAAATTGGTGCAGCTAATATGGAAAGCAATATGGAGATTCCTTGGAAAACTGGGAATGGAACCACCATTTGACCCAGCTATCCCACTCCTCGGTTTATACTCAAAGGACTTAAAAACAGCATACCACAGGGACACAACCACATCAATGTTTATAGCAGCACAATTCACAATAAATAAATTGTGGAACCAAACCTAGATACCCTTCAGTAGATGAATGGATAAAGAAAATGTGTATATATACACAATGAAATATTACTCAGCATTAAAAGAGAATAAAATCATGGAATTTACAGGTAAATATATGGAGTTGGAGAATATAATGCAAAGTGAAGTAAACCAATCCCAAAAAACCAAATACCGAATGTTTTCTCTGATATAAATATGCCGATTAATAATGGAGATGGGGGGCAGAGCATGGAGGAATACACAAACTTCAGATAGGGCAAAGGGAATGGAGGGGAAGGGAGGGGGCATGGAGGTAGGAAAGATGGTGGAATGAGATGGACATCATTACTCTAAGTACACGTATGAACACACGAATGGTGTGACTCTTTGTGTTCAACCAGAGACATGAAAAATTGTGCTCTACTTGTGTAATATGAATCGAATTGCAATCTGATGTCATATATAACAAATTAGAATAAATAAAATAAAAAATTTAAAACAACAAGCAAGAACATTTAAAAAAAATTTTTTTTGAAACAAAACAAAATCCCTGTGCTTTGGAGATTTGTTCTCCCAAAGGCTTTTCTTCTAAAAAAAAAAAAAAAAAAAATCTGTAACATGATATAACAAAAACTGTGGGGACAAGCAGAAATTTCCACATCTATTAGCATATCAATAATTAAAAGAATGACTATTGACTCCATACAACCTACTGCCAAGCACTACATTAAGGACTCCCACAAATGCTGTTTCATTTAACCAACAGCCTGATGGGAGAATATTATCTCTATATGGAGAAGACAATTGAGTCTCTGTGAAATTGTCACCTGCCCAATCACACAGCTGGCCAGAGGCTGAATCAGGGCACTATCCTAGTCCTTTAACCGTGGTACTGGAAATTGGCAAGCCCCAAATTAGCCAGGTATGGTGATAACAGCTGTTACCCCATCTTGGAGACCTGGAAGCTGGGGAGAAAGATATAGGAGGGAGAATATCATGAGCCAGAGGCAACCCCCACCACCCCTGTCCAATTCCTTTCTATAGCACAATACCAACTTCCCAGATGGCAACCTGGGGTGGCAAAGGCAGTGACCAGGAAGGACAGGGAATACCCCTTACAAGTGGTCACCTGGGCCATTACCTGCCACCTTTGCAGATCTCAGAGTCTTACCTGATGGAGGCCTTCTCGGTTTTCAGAGAGGGGAAACCCCAGAATTACCACCTCCATCCACAATGTAAGGGTTAAGGGTAACTAATATATTTAGTTTGGGCTTCAGAAGGCCAGGGATATTTATTTAACACACTAAGTTCCAGTAAGTTCTACAACTTTCCCATGCATATTAATAATGCTAAAAGAAATTTATTTAATCCATCCAGTTACTGTGCTCACTGAGTGTAATTTTAAAAGAAGAGCCAGGGGCAGTGGCACAGCCTGTAATCCCAACAGTTCGGGAAGCTGAGGAAGGAGGATCGCAAGTTCAAAGCCAGCCTCAGCAACTTATTGAGGCCCTATGCAACATAGTGAGACCCTGTCTCAAAAAAAATAAAAAGGGCTGGGGATGTAGCTTAGTGGTTGATCATCCTGGGTTAAATCACCAGTACCTAAATAAATAATATCAAATAACTGTCCAGGAACCAGCTAGTTAGATATCAAACTTTTGGTTAATTATTAAATACTAAAATCCCTATGCCTTCTCTGATATTTAGATCTTTAAAAATGAGTATGTTAAAGCCATAAGCTCAAACCAAAACAATGAGGAGAAATATCTAAATCTCAGAAAGAAAATTAAGATACCTGTAGCCATAGAAGTCCACTGCCATCTAACTCTCTCCACCAAACACCCCCTCAAACCCCCACCCCACAATCTGTATCTATTACATGTTGGATCCAATCATAAATAAGAATAAAAGCAGCAAAGTAACGTCAGTCTCTCCATAAAGTTAGCTTTACTTATGAGAACATCACTAAGGGTACCTGAATTAGGAGCAAATTAATCTAGTTTAAAACTGATAAAAGAAGCTGCAAAGATATATTAATTTAATAACAGTGTTGGCTGCTGCTGTTGCAAGGAAGAGAAAAACCAACTTGAGAGAAACCATGAATGACTGAGAATGTGAGTGTGTGTGTGTGTGTGTGTGTGTGTGTCTGAGAGAGTATGTGTGTGTATGTGTGTGTGTGTGTGTGTGTCTGCCACCATTGCTACAACATATACAAGGTGGATGAGGATTTCTGTTTGTGTGGGCAGGTTTTTTGTTTTGTTTTCTTTGCGGCTGAAGCTCTGATAAGGAAGAGTATGGGGCAAGAGGAGTGTGTGAATTATGAAACAGGGTGAGAGAACTGGGCAGTGAAGCGAAAGTCACAGGAATTCTGAAACTGTGCCAAAGCAGAAACAGCACAACTGCCACCCCCAAACCCTCCCTTAGAGGCAACTGATAAAAAGGGTCTTCTTTATCTCTTGGCCTTGCCAACTTCAGAGAGAATAACTACAAGGTTGTGCGCAGGCCAAACTGGTACTCATCCAAGTTGGCATTTAGGGTTAAGGCCTCTGCCAGCACTGCAGCCTCCCTCTCCTCCTCCAGGGAAGCTCTTCCTATATCCATCTCCAGGGCAGAGCCCTGTATTATTGCCCAGGAAAATGCATCTATTTCAACCCCCAAATCTTTCTGCTAGTCTCATCATCAGAAATTTAGTTAAAATGGCCACATGAGGCCATTTTAAAGGGCAAAAGAAGTTGAGTGTCAGGAAAAGGTTACAATTAAATGGAGCAGAATAAAGAATGAGGGCAGCAGTAGCCCAAGTATGAGGTATCCCAGGCACCAAGGTGGCCACTAGAACAAAGGCAGGCATTGAATCCACCATAGAAGACTTTGAAGGACAAAGGACTTGGCGGGAGTCCTCAAAAGAAGGGGTGTCTTCTATTCCAAGTAGCCATCTTCACTGTGCTAACCTAGAAAAATGATGATGACAACATTTCTTCAGAGGAGTGTGGGGACAGGATCCCAGGCCACTGATTCAGGGATCTAAGATGATGAGGTGAGTGCTTATGAAAGAGTGTGTGGTTCTCATCCCTGCCCAGTGACCCTTCAATGGCAAACCTCTAATTCAAGGAGTTTGCTGGTTTGAACAAAATAGAAT